CCCGGCCCGGCCCGGAGCGCCCTCAGCCCGGTCCCCTCCAGGGCCGCGGCCCCGGTGCCGGACGGGCCCCACGGGCCGGGTGTGGGCGCCCCCATGTCGGCGCCGCTGAAGAAGGGCCCCGGCGGGCTCATCGGGCTGATGAAGGACGCGTTCCAGCCGCACCACCACCACCTCGGGCCGCACCAGCCCGGCGCCGTGGACAAGAAGATGGTGGAGAAGTGCTGGAAGCTCATGGATAAGGTGGGGAGGCCGCGGGGGGGCTGAGGTGGGGCGGGGTGGCCGTGGCATAGGGCTGGCCTGGGGCGTTTGGGGCTCTGGATCAGGGGGGATCTGGGGTGAGCCTGGAGATGTGGGGCTGGCTGTGGGACAGAGGGGTCTGTGGGGCAGAGGGGTCTGTGGGGCTGCCTGTGGGACAGAGGGGTCTGTTCTCGGGGGGGATATTTGGGGGGTGAGAGGTGTGTGGGCACAGAACGGGGTGCAGCGCTTTGGGGGAAGGATGTGGTGAGGCTGGAGTGACAGGACAAGGGGGAATGGCTCCGCGCTGATGGAAGGCAGGCTTGGGTGGGATGTTGGGAATTAGGAATTGTTCCCTGGCAGGGTGGGCAGGCCCTGGCACAGGGTGCCCAGAGAAGCTGTGGCTGCCCCTGGATCCCTGGCAGTGCCCAAGGCCAGGCTGGATGGGGTTTGGGGCAACCTAGGACAGTGGAAGGTGTCCCTGTGCCAGGGACTGAGACAGGATGGGCTCTGAGGTCCTTCCAACCCCAAGGATTCCGTGTGGAACGTGGTGGAGAAGTGAGGCATGGAGGAGAGGCCAGAGGCAGCATGGGAATGGGATGCCAGGATGGGAAGGCGTGAAGGGAGATCAGCAGCTCTGCAGAGAACAAGGTGGAGGAAGAGGGGACAGTTTGGAATGGAGGATTTGGAGCTGCCTGAGAGGATCTGGGGTGCTTCCCCAGGCCAGTGGTCACAGCCCTAAGGCTGCCAGAGCTCAGCATTTGGACAACACAGGGTGGGATTGTTGGGATGTCCTGTGCAAGGCCAGGAGCTGCACTGGATGATCCTTGTGGATCTGTTCCGAGCCAGGATATTCTGTGATATCTGTATAAATCATATACTTGTATAGATAATGCCAATCCTCTGGGTGCTGGGGTGGGCACTGGTGGTGCTGGAAGGGGTAGGGGCTGGTGGGGAGCTGCAGGTGGTGACAGCAGCAGGACAAGGGAGAAGTGTAGGATTTGCTCTTTGGAAGCAAACAGAGCCTGGTGTGTGGGTAGTGAATGGTGAATCTTTGTGGCAGGTCAGGTTATTCCCTTTGGAATGAACAGGACTGTGTTGCTGCACTCAGGACAAAGACATTTCCTTAAAACTGAGGAAAAACTGTAAAAGCCTGACTAAACCCTTTTGCAATAAGTACATGTAGTTAGAGAAAGGTACAGTATCAAGTGATGTTTAACAAGAAAAACTTGTGGCGTGGGAGCTGGAAAAGCCTTCTTCCAGCCCCACACCTTTAGGAGGGGCTCTCTGGGGTCATTAAGACTCCACTCCTCCTCCTCCTCCTTTTAAAATGCCAGGAAATGGCTCTTGCCGGGGGCAGGACACCAGACCTTTTGGCCTGTTGCTGTGATGGGATATTTGATTTACTGGCCTGGCTAGGTGTGCTGGTCAGTCCAGAGTTTTCAGAAATGCTGGGGAGCTGTCAGGGAATGATCAAGTGAGTGAAAGCAGGCACGCAGAAATAGGCACAAAATAAAAATTGAGCATTTTTGTGGAATTTTCATTGATGATTACTAATCAGCCCTGAAATCAAGGCTAGGCTTGGCAGTCTGAAATGTGCAGTGCATTTTATGGCACTGAGTTCAGGGCCCTGCAAGTTGTGTAGAGTAAGAGCATCACCCACGTTGCCCCCAGGCCTTGGGGACTGTCACCTGGCCACCTCCTTCCTCTCTGGGAGCAGAGCAGGCAGGGATTTTGGGCATCCCTCATCCAATTGCCCCTCAGGCTTATCCATTTTCCTTCTCTTCCCCTGCATTGTTTATCCACGCAGCGTCTGAACCTCCTGCAGTAAGTGCTAAAAGCAGGCAGAGCAAATGACTTCTTTAAAGGCGTATTAAATTCTGTTCCTGCCAAGAAATCACTCTGTGTTGGCTGGCTCAACAAAAGGCAGGGTTTGTAGCTGTGCCTTGCTGTGCCTGTGATGAGCTTTGATCACCTACAGAGACTGGGGCAGAGCAAAAAACCCTTTTGAGAGGTGCCTTTGGCTCTCTTGCAGACTCTGAGGGCAAGTGCTAATGTA